ACCAGCCATAGAGGGTTAAAAGATATTCTCATGGCGGCTTTTCTTTTTTTGTTGTTTTCCCGTTAATGCATTCACTTGTTCATAGTAATAGCTCTAGAAGAACCCCTCCCACTCCCTCTGGATGATTTTAGCCAGAAGCATCTCTAACAAGATGTATGCCAGCTTGACCACGAAACCCTATTTTCTTCCTTATTTCCGTTTCCCGCCCAAACCATTACTGGACTTAGAAGTGTTTGTTGAATTTAGAATTGTTTATTAAATGGTCCCACCTTTTTAGGCTTTTCGCTTTTAGAAAAGAGTAGGGTGGTTCTCAGTGGGACCACAATTAAACTTACCTAAATGGACCTAGAGGCACTTTTTCTCCCACATCATGATATTAGCTGCAGTGTTAAGAACATAATCTGGTGAAATTCGGCTTAAAATAGATGAGCAGGGCCAGGGGCTGTTTTTTAAATCATATACTTTTTTGTTACAAGGGACCTCAGATAAGTTCACTGGAATCCTATTTGTCGCGTATAAACTAGGTAACAAAAATAAAACCATACTTCTGACCAAATTGATAGCATTTACTAGAAAATGGGAAAGACACTATTAATTTTCTTCCTTTTGAGTTTCAAATAATCACAAATTTGAGACACAGTGTTAATCTCCATCAATGATACATATAGTTGAGTTCTACTATCATTGCACCAAATACACATATTAGAATCTGTGGGTCAGGTTTTTTTGGTTTTGTTTTTTTCAAAATAAAACAAACATTCTGCACCCAGTAAACAACAAATTTCTTATTTTTTGTGTAGCTTAATCCATGCCTCCAGATATGCTCTTCAAGAAACAAACAACTTTCAATGCATACCATTATAAATAGAGAGGCAGACTGGGGCTGGACATCTCGACCCCATTCACATGCTTGGAAACCCAATGAACCCTACGTCAGTCTACACCATCCCCCAAGGTAGCCTCTAGGTAGAGCACACCTCTTGGGCTTCCTTAGGGCTTTTTTTTTTTTTTAATTTGGGAAATAGGGAGATGAGAAAAGATGAAAAATGAGGGGGGAAAGTAATCTACCAAAAAAAAAAAAAACCCCAAAACCAAAAAACTCTCTCCATCAACACCCACCAGTGGGAGTAGGGGAGTGTATGTTGGTAAGCCTAGCTGAAAACAGAGATAGCGACTGTTTATTGAGCGTCTGCCTCTCTGTGTGCCTCAGTTTCTTCATTTGTAAACTGAGAGCAACTGGTTCAATTATTAATTTGTGCCATCCTGTGGATCTTCCCCGTGGGTGTCTTTTGCTGCCTCCTAGATGTCTGAGTAGCAGGAAGGAGGAGCTGCCCAAAGGGAGAGTCTGTCGGATCACAGACATGGGGAAAGGATGCACTAGGAAGAGGAGTGGGCAGGTGTGTCTGTGCCGGTCAGCATTAGAGCCTACAAGGGGAATCCATGAGAGCAGAGCAAGTGGAGGGAGCAGAGACCCGCAGGAGGGGGCACCTGTGCCAGCTTCCAGGCTAAGGCGAGAAGATCAATTCCGTTCAAGGAGGAAAGCTACAAAGAAAGTCTTTAAGTTCCTTTAGTGGCTTTTGTTTCCCCCTGAGTCATCATCTCTGGGCCAAGCCTGCCGGGCGCAGTGGCGTAGCCCCCGAAGGTGTCTGGGCGGTGCGCGGGCAAGGATTCTGTCCGGGGGTGGCCTTTCTTGATTCTGTGATGCTGCGCTTCCCGGTGTCAAGGTTTAGAAGACCGTTTCTCTCGTTCTTTGCAAGCCACTCTTCTAGCAAAAAAAAAAAAAAAAAAAAAAAAAATTATTTTCCCGCTGTTCATATTAAATGACAATAAGATTTTTCAGGGGGTGTTTCCAAATAGGCAGTCAGGGTTCAGAAGCACTTACTGAAATGACTTAGAGGCTTGTCCACCCAGCACTTGTTTCTGTCATCTTTCCAAGGAGACAACTTAGACCTTGCAAACCTTCCTGATTATTCTGCTCCATGTAAGATGGCAAGCTTGGTGTGTGTCTTTGGGGCACAGTGACAGACTAGACCACCTGTTACGGCAGCCAAACAAGGGCTCATCAATGGCCTTATGTCCATTTCAGGGAAAGAAAGACTACGAATATTTCCTGCACTCTGAAGTTTATGAAGCAGGATTCCTCTTGGCTAGAAGTACCTTACACTCTGGAATGTGCTTTTTCAAACTGACTCCCCTGCCTCCCTTTCAGTACTGGTCTGTTCTGATGACTGGTACTGTCCCTGGGGCACCGTTTCTTAAAGGAATGATGAGTAACAAGGTTCAGAGGAAAAGCTTGTGAGGTTCTCTCTTATTTAAAGAAAGTTTCTGGCTTGCTCCTTTAATCTCATTAAAATAGTGCACAATAAATAGGGTTAGGGCAATCCTGAGCAGTCCTGGGACATGTGATAGACACATGGGTCCCCTCTAATAGGTTTAAATGTCCTCTTTGATTTTAACTTTACTGGATAGAGTAATGAGCTTCTACTTTGGTCACTGCTAAGGACGGCAGGCAGGCCACCCTCTAGCTCTTCCTGCTCAAGCACTACCCCCCCACTCAGAAGCTGTCCCAGCACACGCACCAGACCACGGCCTCCACCCTTACTCTCTGTCCTGCAAGTCCTTTCCATCTGCAGGTCCTTCCCCACCTGATGTTGGAGCCCTTGGGCATTTCTCAGTCCCAAGAGAGCACATAGGGTTTGAAGGACCTGCAGGGGAAGCTCGGACTCTGGCCACAGGGGACATACTCAGGCCCAGTGTGGATGGCCACTCAGTAGAGAGGATGTAGCACGTTTCGAAGCCAGGAAGGTTGGCAGCATAAAAGGTCATTACCTGGGTCCTTCCCACTCAAGGACATGCTACACACACACACACACACACACACACACACACACACACACACACACTCTTTTATTTCAAAAGATAGGAATTTAGCTTACACAACTAGCCTATCAAATCTGCAGGTTCACCATGATTACTCAGTGGTGCACATTGAAATGATTTTTTTTTTCATGAGAAAGTGAGTCAAGGTAAAGAAAAAAAAATAGTAGTAGTGATCCATGGGGTTAACAACCTGTTTGAAAAGTTGGAGTGGAAGGACCAAGTCTCCTGGGCCTACAAAGCAATCTGTTCTGTTTGGGGGTGAAAGTATGGAACTCATGGGACCAGAATGGCCACAGAGCTGAGAGTAAGTGTGGCTTAAGTCCAGTTAGCCCAACGTTTGTCTTCCACGCTCAGGGAGAGAGCCGAGGGTATGGCATTGGATCAAGAGATAACTATTGAAAATGGAAATAAGGCCATTATAATAGAGCTATTTAAAAAGAAGTACTAAGTGGAAAGTGCGGTGAGATAGTGATGGGAAGAAGAGAAGAGAGAACAGGTGGGGAGAGGGCAGACAGAAAGAGAGGACCACTGATAGAGGATAGAAATGTTAACCGTGTTCCCTTTTCGTAAGAAAGCCCTAAGCTTTCCACCCATCCATGCAGCCACGAGGCTGGTACGTCTCCATGAGACTCCAGTGCCTGTTCTCATCATTCTTAAATTCTGTTAGGGCAACACAGAACCTCTCCAAATAAACCCAAGTCCTTATTCCTAGGACCCTACTTTCAATGGGAGTTGACTATGAGTCCACTAAGATGAGGCAGGTCAGTCAGTCACCACGGGGGCAGCCGACCACCAAGGAGTTAAGCATTACTGTGTGGGACAAGAAGGTCAGCCCTTACTGCCTGGCCTCCCCCTCGGACCCCCGGAGGGGAAGAGTTGCCTCTACCCATTGCCTCCAATTTTGTTTTCAGAGGGGGAAACTTTGCTTTGGAAAAGAGACGAAATGGTTTGTCCAGAAAAGTTCATTGACATGGGGGTCTGAGCCTGCATGATCTGGCTTCATTCAGTGCTTAAGCCCAGAGCCAACAGGGCAAACTTGTTGCCCTTACTGAGCCAGACTCAGAAATGCAGAGAAAGGAAAGGAGGAAGATCAGAAATCAGAGCATAATGGAGAGGATAATGAAATAGGCGGGTCATGGGGAATAGTATCTCGACTTGAAACTTTCCAATAAGCAATGGGAGAGAGGGAGAGAGGCCTAGAATTTTGACAGGCATAGGTCCACAGGCTTAAATTTATTAAATCTAAGGCCAAGAGAAGATTAAGACACACACACACACACACACACACACCCCTTTATAAGGTGGGTTCCTAAATCTCTTATGGTGTTCTACCACCTTGATCTCTGCCCTAGAACTAAAACATTTCACTTTAAACTAGAACTACTCACAAGAAAGATTAGGCTTGCCCCCAAAAACTCTCACATCCAAAAATTGCATCCTATCCAAGGGGTTCTACTTGAGATTTTGTTGGTATTGGACTTGAATGAGGTTGTGGCATGTCCACGTTAGATAGATGATAGAGAGAGAGATAGATAGACAGACAGACAGACATGTCAGCACCTTGCACATGCACGCACAGTTTTTCCAGTCATATATCTTAAAAGCAGCTTTGGTAGCTCAGTGTAATTCATTCATTCACGAAATTCAGTTGCACTCTCTGTTGTTACTCGATATTCAATTTTTAAAAACAAAGGTATTGATACAGTCTTAACTGCCCCAATAATTAGGCATCAAAGCGAAATCCTCCAGTATTCCAGAGAACTCTAATCATGAAATAAAGAGAGAAATTTGAAGTAGTTAATTTGAACTGTTGCATTATGCTTAGAAGGATAAGAAGCCATGAAAGTATCCTTTTTTCTTCTCTAAAACTAAACGCAGGTTGTGGCACAAACACAATCAGTAGGGTTAGATCCCCACCTGCACGTTCTGGATTCTCTGGGTTACGGAGCTCCGAGGCTAAAACCTCCTCCTCTTGGTTCAATGGGTCATTCTCGGATCTTAGGGACTTAAGAGAAGCAAACTTGTAAATGAATTGCTCTGGAATTTCTGTCTGACTTATGCGTTTTCTTTTATTTATTTCATTTTTGCATTGAAAACATTACATTTCTGTTTCCTTATAGAGTAGTGTATCAAGAGCCTGTGTATGGCAATAAATTGCTGCAGGTATGAAATCCCGACTGGCGGGAAACCTCATCACTATGATTGTGGGTTTGCTGTGAAATCCTACTAACAAGACAATTCTGGGGAGGGGAGACGTTCTCTAACATAGGAGGAGGAAAGACTTAACTGAATTTTCCAGTTTTGATGTGAATGCTTCTAGAATAGAGATGCGTACCCTCAGATTCCCCTGTTCGCTAGATCGTGAGTGTATCAAAATGGAGATTCTGACGTGGCTATAAATTTCCTGGCTTAAAATGCATCTATACCCAATTAATATAAACTCAGCGAAAAGACTTGCAAGGTTTCATTGTATCAGCTTTCTCGGTAACTTTGTAGTAGGTTCCTGGAGTCAACTGGAATGGTTAAACAGAAAACGTATTCATCCTGCATCGAGGGTCAGCATAGCTAACGTAACTTTCCCTGGTTTCATTGTAGCTTCTTATAAATTTATCGCATACCCATTGCTGTAGCTTTCAACCCTATTACTCACTGCTGAAGCAACCCCCAAATGAACCAATTTGTAGGAAGAAAAAAGAGCAACACATCTATTGGAGTGTAGCTGCCCCAATGAACATTAAAACTGTCAAGTAAAATGAAAGACGAATGTAAATCTAAGAACCATCAGTGGGAGTTTTAGTACATGGATTTCCCTGTAACATGCGGTTCCCATTTCTGTTCTGTGTTAAGTCAGTTAAGAAAGTACGTTCTCTTTTAACCATGAGAATTAATCAAATTGTAAAGAGAAATCCAGTACACGAGGGAGGTCCTTGGATCGAGGAGAGAACAAAATAATTTGAATTCCCAAGATCAACTTTTATTTTTAGGTTTCAGGAAAGCTGGTTTCCATTGCCACACTCCAAAAACAGCCAAATGTGTGATGCGGATAAATTAGGGAGTGACTATGTTTAAATGTTTCATTTTCCAAGTGTTCTTCTAACTGTGGTTTTAGTAAAATGTGTATGTACCAGTATGTACCAGCCCACCTTGTAGATTGCACGAAGTGAGATCTTTGGGTATTCTCAGAAACGGGGAGGCTGCTGTCTAGGATTAAGCCCTTTGCTACTTATACAGTTAGGCAGAAGCGAGAGAGAGACAGACAGACACACACACACACACACACACACACACTACAGCACTCCCTATCCCCCATGTCCCCACCAGCACACAAACATTTCACCTCTCTTCCTAAGTCATTTAGCTATTAGAACATCTTTTTCCAAAAGTATACTCTAAAGTAAAAAATGTGATTTCCCTTGCTAAAGGACTCTGAGATGCACTGAGGGTCCACAGTGCTCATCAATATCATTTTAGAAAGTTCCACAGATGAAGTAACCAGTTTCATTTCATTTCATGTGGCATTTCCCAAACCGATTTGGTCACAGAAAGTTCCTTTTCCTCCCATTGTTAGTATCCCATGAAGTGCATTGTTGGAAATACTTTGTTGGAAAACCATGAGAGGTCCCCCATCACTAATTTACCCCAGCCTCCAGAGGTCCCGCTAACAAAGGCAATGTTTCCGACAATATCGAGTCGGGATCTTCAAGGCCACTTCTGGTAATGGTGGCAGAGGTGGGAGGGGGGAATTCATAATGGCCGTTCAAGAGTTACATTTTATATAAGGTCTCATTTATAGCTTGCTGCCCAATATGTGAAAAACGAGTGTATTTTATGAGTAGGGAGCGCAGAACCACGTGGTACTTGCCATTTGGTTTGGTGGTGGGAAAAAGATCTAACTGTCAAGGACGCATTTCTGTCCTAAGGTCAGGAAGACCGGTTTGCACATGAACATGGTTTGGTGCCAACAAATGGAAGGAAGTGCTCCTTTTTCACACATTAGCACAGAACCTTGCAGGAGCTGTGGCTATGCTCAGCGAGCTGCAAAATATGGAGCCATAAAATTGATTAGAGTCACCTGTTAGAAAGGCAAATTAAAGCAATTTGTATTTTTTGATCATTTTACAGTGTATGCACACATACACAGAGTTAATACACAACTCTGTTATTCCCCTAATATGGATTTCATACAGAAGAAAAATCGCAAAAGGAGACAGTGCAGTGCATACACGTGGTGGTGTCAGGCCCCCTGACCCTTTTCTTTCTGTGCTGATGACCTATTTGAGGGATCACTTAGACCCAGACTGTCCAATACTGAAACTGTCAGCTCCACATGACCCTTGATGGGGAAAGTCAAATTAACTCAAACCAGACAGATTAAAAATTGCAGTTTGTTTGACCAGCCAACATTTCCAGTGTTCAGTAGTCACTCTAGGACCAGTGATGACTGTGTGGGACAGCTCAGGGGTAGAACATTGCCATCACCACCAGCATACCCACTGGACAGGAAGGAGCCTACTGCTCAAGGTCAGAATCTCTCCACTGGCTCCACAGACCTCGGACGACTATGACCTTGAGTCTTAAATAGGGAATGCTGGTGAACAGATTCCTAAATATCCAAGACCAGGATGTTGTCAGGGCATTGACCATTGGGGCCTGTCTCGCATAGAAACACACACTTATTTTAACTGGGCAGGTCTCGTGAAAATAATGGAGACGATGGGTCCTTCCCAAGGCGCCATGGTCAAGTACGTCTGCCGCGCAGAGGAATCCCAGCTGCACACACATCCATTCTAGGCTCATAACAGTAAATACCGACTGGTGGTTAGTGAGGTTTATTTGCCTTATCTGCTGTTTGCACGACACTTATCACACTCTAATGGAAACAATCATGGAAGTTGGAGACCCATACAGAGTTCGAATGTAGAGGATGTGCGGGGCGGGGTGGGGGGGTGTTGCTAGAAATCTTTGCTGGGACCAAATTCACAGTCACCAAATCATGACTGATTTACATGACCCTTGATGCAAATACCTTCACAGTGGCTTTTGCTTTCTACTCTAGAAGAAACACACACACACACACACACACACACACACACTCTCTCTCTCTCTCTTTTTCCATCCAAGCTTTCGGCTGGTGGCAGTTAGCAATCAGCGAGCCGACTCCAGCCCCTCCCTCCCTACCTCACGGTTTAATACACACACCTACACACCTGTGTCTGTCTGGACGCATCATGAAAGCCTAGGAGATGGACAAGCAGATAAAAAGAATGACTCCAGAAATCTGGTGACCTAATTTCCCCTCAGCCCATCATTCTGTATCTTGAGCTTGGTGCTGGTGTGGCACCCACTTTGGTTTTACAACTCTTCAGCACATTTAATGAGTTTCCCCATTCCTAATTAGAGAACATGGTGTTTGGAGCACCAGGTGGTGTCTGGCTAAGACCTCATTTTCTTTTTAATACTGCCTCCAAATGATTGCTGATTGGGTGTCTTGGATTATGCCTCCAGGGCTGATCCAAAGGAAAAATTTCTTTAAGGACAAACTAGATTTTTGAATCACTATGTAAGTCGTCGTGGCAGATCTATTCTGAAAGTTAGAAGAGGGAAGAGATAAATTACTGAGACGACAAAGCGGCTCCTTACAGCATCCATGTCCTTATCTTACCACTGGGCTGTCCCCTAGGCACGAAGCTAAGCATAATGTACCCCTCATTCCTGATTTTGTTGTTAGATCCTCTCTGACATGGAAGTAGCTTGGCTCTTGGAAGGAGGGGTGTCCTCAAACCCATCAGTCTGTTCAGAGTTGCCCCTTTATGGTAAGGGTGAGAACTGTTGCCTCAGAGGATTGTGGGATGGTGAATTCTAATTAGAACCCAAGCGTCCCCTGTGTTATCGGTAGAGACTGGATCCTGTTTGTTAATTGTGCTGAGAGCAGTCGACAGTGGTTGATGTATCGCTGTGGTCTGCTGAGCAAGAAGCTGGGTTATTTTCACAGTTTGATAATCAATGCTCCGCTGAACACAATTTCTTTCGAATATGACCATTTGCTTGTCCTCTGCTTAATTGAACAATTGCAGTAACTGGTACATGGAACTAAATGTTAATTATTTTTTTCAGGTTTTTTTTCCCCCCTCTCTTAATGATTTTATTTACAAATTGGAAAGCTTTATCATATTTTCTGCACCAGACAAATTCCCTATCTGCACCAGTGTGATATCTTTAGCGGAAAAGACAGAATTTTTAACAAGTGTTCACCATTCCATTTTTTTAAATAATTATGCAACACTTAGAAAGCTAAACACAGCCTTCTTTAATTGCTTCAGTGGTTGAATAGCTACATAGGCGAGAGATGACTAATAAACTTTCCATCAAAGCGTTATTTTTTTTTTTTAGAAATATCAATGTAAGACAGGAGGGCATTAGCTCAACCTATGTTGGATTTTTAAGGAAGTCATTGAGGAGAGTTTGAATAAGATGTAAGTTAGTGGCTAATAAGGAAAGGCAAAGCATAATCATTTTTGAAAATCTGGAAAGTTCAGCAAAGTATACAGAGTGTTTAGAGAATCCCCCGTAACCCTCCCCACCCCAACACGGTCACCATTAACCGTCTAGGTACATCTCTTTAGAAGGGTGTCTGGGTTCCTCCTCTGGGAAACGCTTACAACCGCTAACCTTTAACATCCAGCTGGGGTTGGTATCCAAGCCCCTGTCTCTCCAGTGTGTTTGGTACTTCTGCTTTGGTACTAAGCTTTCATTAACCTCCACGTTAGACTGGTAGATGTGGGTTACTGCTGTTGTGTTGCGGCCTCACGGTTGGACACCCCTGAGTTGGCCTCGTCTGCACTCCTGAGTCAGATTTCTCCTTGCGTTTCAGGGTGGTTATGCCGCATACCGCTACGCCCAGCCGACCCCTGCCACTGCCGCTGCCTACAGTGACAGGTAAGAGTCTCCCTCCTCCCACTTGACAACTACCTGGAAATGAACTTAGCCGGTGGGAAACAAGATTCTCGTCTGGTTCTGGTGCGCATGCATGACTGCTGGGGAGGCAGCACCCCCAAATCAGGGCCCAGGGTGACGGTGAACAGTGCCACGTAGAGACAGAATGAACCATCAAACCTAGACCATCCTAAACTCTCAACCTCTCTGCTAAGACCCAAAATGCTGTGTTTTGTGCCCGTGTAGTGCTTTTCCGATCTCTCTCAATCCCTGCGACAGCGTACCTTGCATGCACACACAAACTGTCCCCGCACAGCCTTCCCACGGTCCTCCACGTAAGCAGCAGCCACGGTCTCTAGCTCCTAGGGTGAACACCAGAAGATGAGCCGGCAGGTTTTCCTCCACTTCAGTCACCCGCTTCCCTTGTTTTTTTCTTTTTTCTTTTTTTTTTTTTTTCCACACCCAGTAGAGCATTCCCTCTGTTACCTATTTTTTTTTTTTTTGATCCAACACGAAGGAATGGGGGAGATGTACCTGGCATTCCTAAGGAGGTTCACTCTATCTGGCAGGGCCCCGTGTCCAAACCTACTAGGATAAACCAGGCGTATTTGTAACGCGCACCACGTGTTAAGACCGGCAGTGGAAGGGGGACAGAGAGGGACTAAGAAATGCAGAAGTCAGATTGGATGGCGGGGGTGGGGGTCAAGGGGTGGGGAGGAGCTCCGTTACCCCTTGCCCAGGCTTGACAGATGACTTGGTTTCTGAAATGGCAAGCCACAGCTATTTTCGTGTAGGTGCCTGAGGGGGGGGAAGAAAAGGCAAAAAAAAAAAAAAAAAAAAAAGTGCGTTTCCATATTTGAATGCAACCCGTTGGCTCTGTTTTCTGAGGACATAAATGTGAATGTTCAGAGGCTCTGCATGTACAAATGTCACTGAGGGTGCTTATTTTTGGTAATGACTCTTTTAATTTAAAAATACGTCTCATGGATAAAACGGTGACGGTGACGATTTGCATGTGTGGCTGAGGCATGCTGGGTCAGACAGGTAAGCAGGCGATGTACTTGACCCCCGAGTTGGAAGTGTCAGCCACTGGTGCTCCTTCCTCCCCGGCCTGTTGTGACTTAGATCCTCTCGCGGTTTGCTGCGGTGTGCTTTCTCTGCGGCTCCATTCCATTTCCCACGAGATGTGTCGTTAGCTCGACGTAGCTGCAGATTTCTTCCGAGGTAGAAGAAAGCAACATCAACAACTGAACCCCAAAAAACGGCACTTGGAAAACCCCGTGCATACACTTGTTTGCGGTGGCTCTTGGGCGAGATAGAAGTGAGGTCTGCTATCTGGTTGCATGTAGGTAGTATTACCGTTTCCTTATAAACAGCCCTAACAAGTTCTCGAGCCTGGACGGAGCCTCCAAAGAAATCCAAACACTTGTTAAGACGCAGTTCTAAATACATAAATTATCCACTTACCCCGCATCCTCTTGCCAAGACGCAAAATAGGTTTTTATGTACGTTCCTGTCTTCAGTACACTGTGACACTGGATTAGGAAACGAGAGAGGGTCAATAAAGCTCATAAAACTGATGGCAATCTTGAAATCCTAGAGCTCATTCTACAAATGAGAAGTCCTAATGCTATTAAACTCTGCACACTGAAGATTCGCAAAGTATCAATTGTAATGTGGTTCATCTACAACCCTTAATTATTTTTATGAAAATATCTCTAGATGCTAAATTCTCAAACACCCACTTTGTATATAATTATAATCATAGTGACTTTAGCCTGCTGTATAATTACAAGAATCTTAAACGGATTTATTTCTTTGGATTTTTATCTTGCTTCTCAGCATAAATGCATCTTCCCCCAAGTTGGAAAAAGGTTAATTATAAAGATATAATTTAAATTGCTTTCTTCAATAAGACCCATCTAGATACTTAAAAAAAAATAAACAATATTTAAGAGTATTCTTAAATAGAATTACTTGAGAATCTGGCCATCTCTGTTGGCCTTCATTTGAAAATTAAGTTAAAGTGTTGCTGCATTGGGGGATCACCCTGTGCAAATATGTGTATAGAATCTGTTACTTTAACGTTATTGAGACTTCTCATTGGCAGTGTGTCCTACTGAAAATTGCCCTCGTTCTTGGCTTGGCAAATCTTGAATGAGTCTACAATTCCCACGTTAGTGTAATCGTTTCCATGGAAGAAACCAAGTAAATATACTCTTGTCCATGTAATTGGCCTCTTGCTATTTATGAAAGACATTTGTACATTGGGTCTTCTTGGTTGGTGTGGAAATTGATTACCAGCCCTCTTTAATTTGATTAGAAGCAAGACACTCGCCACATATGGGATTATTGCACTGAGGTAAATGCAGTAATAGGCAAATTACCAGAAAACAATCTTTAAAATGATATTTCTGGTTCAATTTATAAAGCACATTTATGACATAGTCCTTCCTTATATTTCCAGTAAGCAGGCGATGAGAAGGAAGACCCGTCCCTTTGGTAGAAGACACATATTTGGGGAGGACGTGAAATTATCAGAATAGCTTTTGAATTTGGATGAAAGATGCCAAGTTTCTAGACTTTATCTCGGGGCAGTTGTGTAATAATTTATTTTTACATGATCCCAGCTTAGTATCAGCCATGATAGATTCTGGGTTCTTCTCATCTAGAAGACAAGCAGGATGACAAAGAGAAAAAAACTCCTTAACCCAAAGAAACTCCTTCAGAGCAGGAAACAAAATCAGCAGGAATTGAGAGCGTTTTGGTAACGCTCGCTGGTTATCAACAGGATGAAAAGAGAAACAGCCACTAATTTCACTTGTAGCCATGAAATTCGCTCTTCAGGAGTGTAGAAAGCAAGAGAAGCTTGGTGTCCCCAGGTGATAGAATTTTACCTTTTATCAGCACAGAATAAGTCCTTATCAAATTAAAGAGTCAGGGACCTTTGGAAAATATTGAACTCCAATAACCTCAGGACTGTCCAGAAGGTCCTTGATGGATACCTTGCAACTCCCTCCCCATCATCTTCTTGGTTAAATGATCACATGCTGATTATCTGGGAGCACCCTGAGAGTTGCTGGATGCTGACCTCCAGAATGAAGACCATCTGGTGTGGGCAGAGATTTCCCCAAAAGCAAGAGACCTGCCTGGACTAGGTAATTTGATAGTTTCCCTGACAGATTTAATGAGAATAGGCAAACATCTCTCCTTGGCATTTAGGCAATGTGTGGAAAGCACCTGACTTCACCAGATCTTCATTTTTAACCTCCCTTTGACTGAGGGAAAGCCCACGGTCCAGACTTTCCAAGGGCATTGTTTTCTGAGCTTGAACTGATCAAAGCATGGCAGTGGGGCCGATGGTCATCTGGTCATTGCATGCACTTGGTGTTGCTGATGTGTCCGTGATGCGTTCTGGATTCGACAGGTCCACCATCACATTAGCTCGGTGAATGGCTTGCTTGAATGAAGCCTGGGGCAGCCTTCTCTTTATGGACTGGCTCTTGGTTTCGTTGTGTTTTATGACTTGGTTGTGGATGCATCTGTGAGCAGCCGAACCAGGAGGTGGGGCGGGAGGGGATATTCCCTGTTCAGTGACTTGTGCCACAAATATTTGGGGGTGTATGTATGATGTGTATCCAGCTTCGATGAAAATGTTCTCTCTCCAGAAGGGCAGACATTTCTCATGCTTATCCTGCTTGCTGAACCTTCTAACATCTCCTAACAACCAGTGCATGAGAATGTCCCCTCACGTTAGGGCAGAGGGGAGCCAGATTCCAGCAGCTAGAGAAGAAAGTTATACAGGGTGGTTCACTCGGCAGTTTCATCATGATCCTGTTGTGCGGACGGCTCCCAGGGGCCATTTCCTCTTGCACATGAGACATGCATTTCCTTCCAAGACCCCCCAACGTCAGGAGCTTTGGACAGACAGGCCGTACAGTTGCCCCTAGACTGAGCAAAAGAGACAACAAGCAACCAGGTTTTGTTTCTTTGGTTTTTTTTTCTACCTTTTTTGTTCATTTGTTTTTTGAGACCTTAACATTTCATCGGAAACGTAGTATTAGACTGTATCACATAACCTTGCTATTTTTTGACAAAATGGTAGAATATTGGCAATTTCATAGCTCAACTTAATAGAAACTCAAGGAAAATGCCCTAGGATCAATTATCTTGTTCTCTGTGTTTGGAATATCTAGACCTACTCGTATATGTGTGTGTGTCTGTTGTGTGTCTATGTATACATACACATATGCTAAGAGAAGCATGTACACACACACACACACACATCCCTGTGCCTCAGGTCCTCACAAAGGACTCATAAGAGTCTCTAGGTAAATATTACACGGAGGCCAGGACCTAGCAAATTCAGGGAGTCATAAGCCCCATGCTAGAACATTTTTTTAAATGTGATAGTCATAACCTATGAATAAAAATTTCTATTTCAGAGACAAATAGATTAGCAGTTCTTTCTTAAAATTCAGGAGGCATGTGTCTGAGGTCATGGAGATTTTGGTCTACTCCAATTTAAACGTATAAAGGTGACTGAGATAAAAACATACGTGTGTATGTACATAGATGGGTGAATGGGTAGATGGTTGTGTGGGAGGACGAATGGGAAGAGAGCAAAAGAACAAAGAGAAAGAGGAAAGAGGAAGGGAGGAGGTAAGGAAAGGGAGGGAGGGAGAGAGGAAAAGAAGAAAGGGAGAGAGGGAGGAAGGAAGGAAGGTGGGAAGGAACGAGGGGAGAAACATTTCTCTGCCTTCTCATCACATTTTATCATAAGTGTAGGATCTAGAACTAAAGAATATAGAACGAATTTGTTTACATAAAACCTTAGTTTGATCCAAACTGAAAAAGTAAAAGAATTTGTGTTGATTTCCATATAATGCAGGGACTCCCTATCTAAGACTCTTGACTTTCTGGATTCAGATTAAATAATAGAGAAATGAATGCCGTCATTAAAAGAAGGCTAGTAATTACATTTAAAATGATGTAGCATTTTA